ATTTTGACGTTATTCATCAAAATGTCGCCAAAATTTATAAGTTTATTTGTATGAGTTAAGAGCTTTCAATTTATACTGTGCCATCGAAAAAAAAACGGCGTTCAATTGGCTTGAAAATTACTATCGATGACATTCCCCATATAATTTTACGTACAAAATAACAGCTTTCTTCATTTCCAAGCCACTTCTGACGCCGTTTTTTTCGATCGTATGGTATTATACCAGATTATACTACCCTTTATGGAGTCTAGCAGTTTATTTCTAGCAACAACAGTTTACATCAAAGTTAGCACACAGGATATAGGTATAATTTCTAACACCACACATTCCAGAAACTCACAATTTAAACCCAAAAATAGGATTTCTGTTTGAATAGATCAAACACGAAAATGGGTTTAGGGATAAAGAACAAGCGATTTTCAACAAATTTTCACCTATACCCAAGTAGCATTTGGACGTTATCTAACGTCGGGTATATGTCGGGTCCAATAAACCCGACGTCGGGTACCAACGTCGGTTCGACCGCCTGACAACCCTTATTTGCACCTAAATGGGGAATACAGATTCGGGTCGCCTCGACATCGGTATCTGACGTAATAGGGAATGTAATTCTACCAATTACCAAAGTCATATTACGTTGGATTTTAGTCACTTACAATTCGTCGCTAAGCACTTACCAAGAATACATAAAAACCTAACCAAACTACCTAATTACGAATGGATTCATTATCACTCCTCGAATATAACTATAAGTGCCTACCTAATTTCATATTATAATAATTCTGAATCATTAATCCAGACATCAGTTTTGTCAACGGAAGTCACATTTTTGATATATCTGATTAAAATACTCCGGAAAACAACGAGCGCCTTCAAAATTATGTAGATTTATGAAATAAAAATATCTATAAAAAAGTAACTCGCAAAATATTTTTTTTTATTTTCTAGCTGGTTTAATCATAAAACTGTACTGTGGTTCCCCCCAAACTCAAACTTATCAATATTAGTCTACTAGAAATCGGAATGTGAATATAAATTTTAAAAACAAAAAAACGATTTTAAAATGGCTGACAATCGGATACGTGTTAAGAATGGCGGATTTCTGTGTCCGACTTAATATGAACTACCAATATACCAATTCCGACCGGGTCTCCAATATTAGTCGTCTCACACAACCGAAGTCATCAAACCGGATGACAGGCAATCGTATTATGACGTATATAATTCCAACGTATGCCACGTAACCTCACTTTGCGTATCAGTGATTTGTGGATTTGTGCAACTATATTTTAGTTTTTGTTTTCTCCTTAAAAAAAAGAGCAGCCACTTTTTTAAGATAGTATATATACAAAATTTAAAAGAATTGGAACCAGTACCTCACATGTGGGAGGAGGATGGGGTCTGCTGGTTTCCTAAGCTAAAAAATGAAATTAAGATGCACCAGTGTAATGTAGCATCTCTTCCAGATAAAAAGCATTCGTGGGTGGAGGCATCACTACTACTATTATTATTTTATTTATTAGCTTTCTGTAAAATGTAGATAAATGTCTAAATGCCTTTTTAGTGTTTTTTAGGCATAATAAAAAAATTAAGTTTGTTTACAAAAACTTTTTATTAGGTTATGTTCATGATGTTCATTAGGCCGCAAATGCTACTTAATGGGTTGTATTTACGGACGTAAACAGAGATACGTAAATTAGGTTATAAATATGAACATAAAATACAACAAAATATAATTGGACGTTACTTTAGGGATTATCAGTGGGACGTATCCTATTCGGACAACGGGTAGACGTCGGGCTAGTTCAAGTATATGTACGTCGTGCAAGCCAACGTGAGAACGACGTTGGGAAATTAATAAAAATTGTACGTTGTTATTTTGTACGTCGACAGATCGTTGGATTTACCAACTCGGATCCAACGACGTCGCTTTTAATAGGAAAGCGACGTCACCGGTCATATCACCAGCACCCGACCTAAATTTGCACAAAGTCTGACGTCGCTTCAGGTCAGATTTAGTTCGAAGTCAGATAGATGCTACTTGGGATAATTTTGTCACAAATTCTTCATTATGAGACCCTGAGTTGTTCGTCGTTTTTCGACATTAGTTGAGGTTAGGATATAATTTCTGCTAGAACAAGGCTAGAACTATGAGTATAAGAAAAAACTCAACCAGTTTTGTTAGTTTCAGTCATTTTTAAGCCCATCCAATATCGACAAACGACCGAATTCACCTCGAATTTCACTAAATCAAAGAACTGAATAATACACGATGCAAAAGCCATCAAAAATAAACAACTGTCGAGATGGATTGTGGAAAATTTTTTGCGCGGGCGTTTTAAATTCTCTGTATTACTGGGAGTGGCCAAGCGCATAAATATCCAGATTATCCAGAAGATACCAACAGGATATTTTGTTGCCTTGACGTAATATATATCTATCTGTATGGTTTATTGCATTTTATGTAATATAAAAAGTAGTACATTATTCATTTTTCCTAAATATCTAGACGATATTGTTAGGATATTTTATTATCATGAGCATGTTTGGATATCTCAGCTGGATGTACATTAGATATACGACAGAGATATCCATATCCATTCTATTCTGAGACATCTACAGGATTTCAGGATGTCTGGAGGATATCCATAGATGTCTTTATAAGATGATCTTATAATGGGACATTCCGACATTCTATGAATATCCTGCGGATATTGTGTGTTATATGGATTAAGATTATTAGCTACTACAAGAAGAAATTCAGCGGGCTTTTTAGAAGAAGTCATCCATGAAGATTACGAGGTCTGGTTTCCAACGGATGGTTGTTCTACGCTAATCGAAACCACTAATTTGGAGGTTCTGAATGAAGCTTAAAAGTACTTAAACTTTTGATGTTAGTTTAGTTTTTACTTCATAACGATTTCCAAAATGATTCTTTTTCAAAATTCTCCATTGTCTACCATGATTAAATGAATTAAACTACATTATTTCACATGACCACCGTAGTTGACCGCAATAAACTACTGAGGATGTATTTTATGGCTCAACTGAGGCTCATCTTTATGAATGATGGATCAAGCACGAAATGCAAAAATATTGGAATTAAAAAAAACCTTTCATATTTAAACAAAATTTTTCAGAAACCTATCCTTACCGTAGTATACCGAGCTCGTTAAACGTGATTTTTTAAGATTTAATGATATTAGCTGATATTTTTTGGATTTGTTGGTTAAAATATTTGAAAAATCAAAGGAAAAATCATAGTAATTTTGTAAGTAATGAAAGAAAGATGTTGAAATATTACGGTTCAACGGTAATTATTTTGTTAGGTTTTCTATTAGTCCGCTCGAGAAAACAGTCTTCATGCGAAGTTCAAGAGATCCAAGAGGAATAACTGACACTTTATATGTAACGACTTGATTGTCCTCATAAGTGGTTCAGCCCTTAAGGTCTATAGTTTGAGTATTGAAGTAAGTCTGATAAAATTACCTACAGCATAGAGTATTGATCCCTGAAATATTTTCCTTTCTGTAATAATACGGTTTCATAATATACATTGTTTATTCGTACGTGGTATATTTTATTACCTATTTCGAACAAAAGAGACCAAACCAATCGAAAAAATCTTCGAAAATTCATAATTAAGCAACGCAAATATTCAAAGGACGACCACAATAATTCTTGTAGCAATAGCTTTAAGTGAAAGCTCATTGTGCGTCAAAGTTCGTACCGATTCACGGGAAAATAACCCGAGGAATATAACTATATCAATCCATTTCCACGGTGAGGTGTGTGCCCTTTTAGACCGCCTTTTTAACCAACAATCGTCCCGACCGGAGCGGCTCTAATCTCTTATTCTTCTTCTTTTCGACTCTTCTCGCAGGACCCGACGAAGATGGAAGATAGAGAAGAATGGGAAAAAGAGATAAAGGAGAAATTCTCCGGCTTTTGTGTTCGTTTGACGTGTTTATTACCCTCTCGCCTCTTGCGGGTACAGTCGGTGGCATAAACATTCCAATTTATGATGTGTATAGAAAAATGTCCTGATTTTATATCTTTTTGATACTATAGCCCCTGAAAATAAGTAAGCTTAGATGTTGTGTTATGGTCGTTGCCGGAAACGGTACTGATGGGAGAATTTTCAGGTCAGAGGCTTGGAACACCCTCAAAAAGAAAATTCCACTCCTCCAATTCTCAGTGATGACATACCAAGAATGTACAACTTTGAGAAACACCTCACTGTAGCATTGATCAATGAATAGGATTGGAAGAGAAAAACGTTTGCTCAGCAGGTAAAAGACCATACTAAAACGTGGTATACTGATGCTTCCAAAAACAAAGCTGGGATAAGAATTAGTAGTAGAATTATTAGGAGTATTTGGGTCAAAAAGTAGATACTCCGAACCAATGCCATAAATTTTGGTATGGCTGATGGTATCAGAGATGAAGAGCTGGCCTCTTTGAAGATTCAAAGCCCTGAGACTGTATGATGTGTTATAACTCATTATAACTCAAGAAAGGGTTGGAATTGTTTGGTTCCCAAGTAGCACAACAATATTGTTCCAAGATTGATCCAATGTAGAATATATATTGGGCCAAGCTAGTTTTTAATATCGGGCCAATAATAATTCGTCACTTTTTGATATATTGGCCCAACATTGTTTTTAAATATTGGTCCAACAAGTTACTAAAATATTGCCCCCATTAAAAATGTAATATTACGCCAACATTGGTAATCATAATACCACTAGTTTTTGTCCTTAATTTTATTTCAAATTTAGGGAAAACATAAAACAAAATACCCATGTGTGGATGGAAACACATAGAGGAATGGAACAGAAAACTATACAACCAAGATAAGAAAAGGAATAATTATAAACCTTATAAAATTGAAAAGAAGAGTATTGAATATACTAATATCTTTTTAACTGGACAAATATGAAATAAAACTTGAGATAGATGTACCGACCACATAAAATTAAATTTATAAGGACACAAACCTCTAAATATTCTTCCCCCATCCCGGTCTCCGGCTGTCGCTAGTGAAATACCAATACATCGCGTAATGTCCAGATCAGTTGCGTCTGGAAAATGTACTTTCACTGCATCTATAAAATAATATAAAGTTTTTTGGGTTATCCTTTTGTGTTTTGCCTTATTTTCTAATATGATGAGATGATATGCTCATAATATGGTTTATGCAAAGTGGCAGAAACTTAGAAGTAGGAGCGTTTTATTCAGTGGTGCAACTAGTTGTTTATGGTTTACATTGTGTGTAAGAGCCCAACATTTTAAATTATCTGCAAGTGAATTCTGATTATGATTTTCTAACACATTTGATATGGAATCGTAATTTAACTCTACAGTCTGTGTATTGCTTGCCCCCAAGTCCCCGACTCTTCAAAAACAAAACTAAGACAGCTATCACTATTATTAACAATATTAGTAAGTTGTGTGTTAACTTCATTAATAGAACTTGTATTATCGTCTGATAGAAGTATAATGTTCTCCTGGCTTTCCAGGCGTTTCGTAGGGACTGTCACCGTCAGACTCATCTTTATTTGCAAGAAAACTTTTAACAAACCTGTATTTTTTGCCTTTCCCGACATTTACCTAAAAAATGTCTGTTTATTTACCTAAGTAGCAATACCGAATCTAAAAATATTTATTAACAAAGCGCCCTAACAATCTAATAAATTATACTCTCGATTACACATTGCTTCAAAACTACTATTGTGTGTTACAGGAAAAAAAAAATATATTAGGTACTTACTTTTACTAAAGAAATATTCTTCAAGCTGGATTCAGTAAAATTTTCTGTGGTTGTAAGTTGTAAACCTAGGTACCCGTGAACCTACAAACAATACAGCTTATAGCTATAGCACATATTTCTTGTATTATACGTGTTAATTGTTAAGCATTGGAATAGGTTTATTCGACATACTTACTCAACTAACATCAACAGTACTTACTTTGATTTGATCACGATAAAAACACAATTTGCTTACAAAGAAATCTTTCACTGTCACAGCAACAGCTTTTTATGTCATGTCAACTCGTCAGTAAAAGCGTCTAGGTCAGCGTTGCCAGGTGTCGGATATGAAATTATGGATCAATGTAGATCAAAGTATCGAATTTATTATAAAATTATGTTACAAGCGATATATTTGGCTGAGGGAATTCTCTAAAAAATATAATGATAGCAATAAATTTGGATCCTATTTTTTGTCGGTTTAACTTAATTTTGATAGGTTTCAACCAGCTATTAAACGTATTTTCTCAGTCAGTTTTATATTTTGGGGTCTGGTTTCTCTTCTTCCCGCATTTTAAAATCGGAATTACTTGATTTGCCGCGGATATTTACTGCTTTATACCTTAACATTTTTTTTAAACTTTAAACCACTTGAGTTATTTTGCATTAACTACCTTAAAGTTAAATTATTTCTCATAAAAATATATTTCATGGTTGATAAAACATTAATTGTAACAGGTTACCAAATTATGTTACAATTATCGATTATGGTACAGATTTTTTTTGGGAAAATTTTGTTATAATAATTGGATAATTATGTACATCTGGCAACACTGATCTAGGTACCGGAACGCGGCCCGGCGCGCGGCGATTCCAAAGCATCACCCGGCGCCGGCGCATGCGTATTGGAACGGCAGAAGAAAGTAATGCTTCAATAGAGTCTGGTTTCTAAAGCAGCGTGTAGCTCCGTGGTTGAGGCTGCCGATTCGGGAGCGACGGGTGATGGTTCGAGCCCCGGCAGAGGCAGAGCTTTTTTTTTTCAGCTGTTTTTATTTATTTCTTTATTTATTTAAAATAAATTAAAATACGCCAAATCGCCTTGGTTAGTCTTTGGTGTAAGTTTTTTTTATTTATAGATTACACGCGAAATACCCGATCGATCCTTGGCGCTAGATGCTTTAGGAATCGAGCAAGAATTTTAAAAGCAAACTTTTATGAAAATCATGAGATAGTAGGGATGCAAGCCACATGTCAAAGTATCAACCCAGGTATCGATATCTACTATAGGTAGCGATTTTATTCTAAACAGAATGCATTTCAATATTGTTCCAATTTAGTTAATTATGTAAATGCCAATATCCAAAACATCAATATAAAAGGCATATTGGGCCAATGTCACAATAAAATATTGTTAATGCCAATCATGGGCCGACATTGATTATTTTCAATATTGGCGAAAACTAAGAAACTAATATGGGTACAATATTGTTTACCAAGATTAGATGTACTGAATAAAATACAATATTGACCCAACATTGGCACAACATTGATGTGCGAACGAAAATGAATCAATATTGAGCCAATATAGAAACAATGAGCAGCCAATATTTCGTGCTACTTGGGTTTGTTTAAGCATCAAGAGCAACATTACAGGGTCAGTCTTAAATAAGTCCAAATATTTTCAGGTGTAGCATAATTCGACCTCAGAAACACGACCTCAAAAACCTCATTCTTAGGTTTTTTTTCGCGAGCATTTTTTTGGAAAATTTGGAAACTTTTTGGACTTTTTTTGTCCAAAAACTTTTCAAAATAAAATAACTCGATTATTTTGGATTTATTTGAAAAGCAATAAAGAGAAAATATGTTTCTTTCATCGAAATCTACCAGCCCTGAAAATATTTGCACTTATTTAAAACTCACCCTGTATAGAAGGATATAGCATCTAACATTTCCCCAATCGCTCTTTCCACTGAACCCTAACTTTGACATTCAATTTTAAAATCAAGACATTCAAGGCAATCAAATCAAATTTATATTAAATTAAAAAAAGATATTCACGAAAAAAAATGTTGAAAGCAAAGGAATCAAAACTCATTCGTGCAATATCGTATCGACAGGATTAAAATGCCAGCCTGTAAGCAGAATAATCAAAAACATTACCTTATTTATAATCTTTTTCAGGAACGTCAGCATTAAAACGGACATTAACGTCAACGCCCGGGCAAAGTCGATAGTTAATTAAATTGAGAGTTTTTCTATTGATCATCAATATTTTCCAAATCCTTTGGATTTTTACGTTAATAGCCGGTTAGTAACAATAATGTCCAACCTAAGTGGGCATACAATATTGACCGGTCATTACTGTTAAAGGTTTTTAACATATATCAGGCCATGTTGAATCAACTAAATTGTTCAACCAAAATAAACCGTGTTTGTCCGCCTTAACCGAACCAACAACGGTTCGATGCAAAACCAGACTCAGCCAAAGTCGAGTGCCTCCGAATCTTCCACGTCCATTGTGCCGATATACGTGGTCCTTCTATAATCCCTAAATCCCATGTTTTTCAGTCGACTGGTCGTGTTCCCTATTATGATGGATCTAATACCCGACAGCTGGCCGATACTATTCTGTGGCTCGTCGTGTAGTTGGGCCGGTTAGTCGTTGACAGTTCACGTGTGGCTTTATTCTTTTTTTGTCAGCGATATTCGACGATATTATATCTATATCGAGAAGAGGTGACATTACGATGTAAATAAAAGTTTTATTTTTTTTGGAGATTTACTTCTGTTAATATTGTTAATTATTATCGATGTAAATTATGCAAATTTTCCCATTGATTATTAATCCACTAGATGACTCGGTTAATTTCGTACTGTCTAACAAGTGAAGTGAGATATTTTTTTTTTTGTCAATCTTGTGGAATGAATGATTGATTGACCGAATGATCGGGAATGATTTAGACCAATCAATTTGACAGTTGTTGTTATTTGTTCTCTATATTATTAAGGTTTATTTTGATTATGCTCGAGTGTTACCTTACGTGACGTCAAAACTTTACTTTCAACCTGGAATAGTCAAATGCCAAATTCTATGCTATTAAAAGAAAACTAAAAATAAAATACATTTCTGATTGATCATTGAATCTATTAGGTAATTGTAAAGAACATTCCATAACATTAGTGAGATTGATGGTTTTGAGGTGGTTGAAAAGTCCAATTACCTCGGATCCTTCATAACTAACAAGGGAGGTTGTGACGAAGAAATCAAACGCAGACGAGCAATAAAACTGACACGAATATGAAAATACTCTTCAATATCCCAGCGCAACAAATTAAAATTAGTAAAGACATTGATCTTTCCTATATGTATATAGCTACTTATGTATCTGAAACCTGGACTCTGAAAACTACAAACAGACGAAAAATAGATGCTTTCGAAATGTGGACCTACAGAAGAATGCTGCGAATTTCATACACAGAACATCGGACCAACGTACGTCTCAATATTAAGGCAGTTGAAAGTTACCACAAGATTTTCAACCAAAATAAACCAGTCATACCATAGGTACCTCGGGTACATTTTGAGAAGAACAGATGGACTGGAAAAAATCATAATCGAAGGGAAGATTAATGGCAAATGACCAAGAGGAAGGTCCCCGACGCGCTGGGTGGACCAAACCAAAAAAATTATTGATGGTCACGGATCAAGGGACACAGTAGATCTGCAAGATCGCGGAGGTTACTATGCTAATTTACTATACTTACGATCGCGAGGCGTACATTCTCTGTCTATCCACAGTTTCGTGGCTGCTTTGCAAAGCCGCAGAAGGGTTCTAGGCCTATGAACGAGATCGATGAGTCTTGTTTGGTTAGTTCTGCCTTTTTTACTGTCATGTCGTCTGTGACTGTCGTGACCCGGTACCCAAGCTAACGTAACATTGCTACGCTGTTACACTCTAGTCTAGAATGAATAATCTATCCCACTTCTTCTTCTTCTAGTGCGAATCCATTAATGGATGTTTGCGATAACATTTTCCATTGCTTCTCTATTCCTGGCGGTGTTTATTAACGACTGTACATCGTGTAAGCCTGTCTACTGTCTAACATTCCTCAGCCATGACATTTTCTTCCTTCCGATACCCCTCCGGCCTTCGATCTTGCCGTCGATTAACAGATGCAAGAATTGATATTTGGTATTTCGCATTATGTGCCCCAGGTATGCGGTTTTGTTCTTCTTAATCAATTCAAACAATTCGCGCTGTGTGTTGACACGTCTCAGAACTTCCTCATTTGTTAACCTAGCCGTCCAAGGTATCTTCAGAATTCTGCGATATAGCCACATCTCGAAAGCCTCTAGTTTATTAATGTCAGCTGCTTTCAATGTCCAATCTTCCATACCATAAAGGAGCACCGACCACACGTAACACTTTACGAATCTTAATCTGAGGTTAAGGTCAAAATCAGAACAGACAAGTACTTTTCGGAACCTCAAGAATGCTTGCCGAGCTTGTTCGAGGCGACATTTAATTTCCTTGTCTGATGTCCAATCTTCGGAGAGCCAGATGCCCAAGTACTTAAATTTATCTACCCTCTCTATGGGCCTTGTATTGAATGTTATAATGGAGTTTACAGTTTACATATCTGGATTTCTGGATATTATCATAAATTTAGTTTTCTTGATGTTTATGTTTAAACCCATTGCTTTACTCTGTTCTCCTACCTTGTTGACCAGTTGTTGTAGATCGTGTATATTATCTGCAATCAAGACCGTATCGTCGGCGTAGCGGATGTTATTAATCCACACTCCGTTAACTTTGACTCCCATTTCGACGTCCTCTAGAGCCTCTTGGAAAATAGCCTCCGAGTACAAATTGAATAGGAGTGGAGACAGCACGCAACCCTGTCGCACCCCCCTTCTAACTTGTATGGGATTGGACATGGTATTGGCCAATTTTATTTGTGCTGTTTGGTTCCAGTACAAGTTTTCGATGCATTGTATGTCTTTTTGGTCTATATCAAGCCTTTTGAGTAGCTGCATTAATTTGTGGTGTTGCACGCGATCGAATGCCTTTTCGTAGTCTGTGAAACACAGGCACACATCCTTTCTCTGATCGTAGCAGTTCTGGACAAGCACCTGTGTTGCATCTATCGCTTCCCTTGTTCCTAACCCTTGCCTGAACCCCATTTGTGAATCGCTTATGTCCCTTTCACATTTTCTGTAAATTCTCTGGTGTATGATTTTCAAAAATATTTTTAGGGT